GGGCCGGTTGTATAAAACTCTTAATCACTTTTTAATCACTATTTTGTAGTTAAATAGTGATTAACTCTCAAATACGCGCTTCTTATTGGATGACGTTTCCACTAACTATAGTTAACTTTAATCACCTTTTTATACAACCGGCCCCAGATACAAATGTCAAAAGGTCTGTTTTTGAACAAAGAACATGTACAAAAACGCCGTTCGTTCATGTTGTTTTTTTCTTGTTTTTATTCGTGAATTTAAAACTGCCGCTTGCTACAAAATAACATACCGCTGGCTCAACCTAGACATAACTCGGTTATCAGATAGCAGATAACTGAGTTATGTGTAGGTTGCGAATTGCGTGATTTCCATATTTAGCTATAAGCTACTGGGCAATCAGAAGACAGATAGTGACAGACTACAACACAATTCCCACAATTAATTATAAGATTCATATACAGTCATTTATTTGTTCACATGTTTTTCACATTTTTTGTTCACATGTTTTTCACATTTTTCTCAGAATAACCTAGCCATTTTACAAAACATTCTCCACGTTTATTACGCTGCATGCATGATCAAAGTAAGTTGGAAATCTTGTACACGGCAGCACGTCGTGACACTCGCTTTGTTCTTGTGAATACTTCTTCGGTGCAGTGGGTTAGATATAACCTTTCTTGAACGTACCTTTCTTGAACGTAAATTCCTCCCATAGAGTTATACCACACAAAACTGACGTTGTCTTTATTCACGTCAGCTGGTTTCATTCGACGTGTTTTAAAGCTGTGTACCGATTAATATCCGATTAAATCTTTCTACCATTGAAGCCTTGATTTCATTATGAATCTTGAAAAAGCGAATGTTGTTTCTTTAAACACTTTCTGAAAAGGTATGTTCGTATAATCTATGCCTTATCTGTGTCAAACGTTTCTGCAGGTGTTCGCTTCTTGATTACTTTCTCAAACGCCTGAACAAGATTTGATTCAAGTGGTTCAACCTATACGTATTTGCTCAATACGTCGATAAGAGTTAAAATTAACTAATAACCATTATTATGTTTATATTGCCCATGATGACAAGATCAATTACGCGATTACGTATGAAACGGTACTTGTACAGTTTTATTCAACATCTGTCATATTTGATATTTCCCCCGTTTCAGTTACGACATCGTAAACTGAATCTACGCCGCCAACGTTTGCGGACCTTAATCCAAATTGTAGTGATCGGTTAGGTATTTCTCTGCTATCAATATCCAAGGCTTGTATTATAATTTTACCTCCACAATGGGCAGAAATATTATTAAATATCTCTCCTGTTTGGCTGTTTCTGCAATCATGTATTGATATTGCAATGCTGGTCATAATTATATTAGTCGATGTTGATCATAATTATAATTACCTATATGGCGTTATATTGGTCAATGAAAAGTTTCTGATAAACGTTCAATGAGAGCATAGCATTTGTACTAGGTGACAATATATATATATATATATATATATATATATATATATATATATATATATATATATATATATAATTCCTCCATATAGTCAGCGTTTGCATCCAGTCGATTTTCCCGTGTACTAGAAAATGTAAGTCCAGTTTTGGATGCCATTTGTGCGTACAGCACAGGATAGCTCTGTAATAAACCAACTCTGTCAATGTGTGGAGAATGATCTTGTTTCAAACATTTTCTGCTGTAAGCTTCATTCGAAAAAGTTTTGAAATTTTGTTCTGTCGTTTCGGCAACAGCAAAAAAAGGCGGTCTTAATTGTCTGCTTCCTTTTAGCTTTGCATGCGCAATAATTCAATCCATGTTCGCGCATTTCGTTATTGATATAGCTCCAGTCTATCAGCCCACTGCTAGAAGTTACATCGATTTTGGCGGTCGCAGCAAACGAAAAACTGCCTTTCGAAGTTCTTTATTGACATTCTTCACTACTTTCATTCTTGTTGGGCTCTGCTGAGTAGCGGACGAAATTGCCCCATTTGTCTTCCTCATCATCATAGCTGTTTCAAACAGTGAATGGTCTCTTTCTCCTCCACAGAGGCTTTCGATGTAGTGTGTTCTTTGTCACTCTGGACCTTCTAGATGGGCAGTCGGAAAGGCGCAAGATGTGTGAAAAGGTGCTAGATGGTAATGAGGTAGCGTGAAAAAAGGCAAAAAGAGGGTAATAGGCGGGAAAGAAGAAGAAAAATTGCGAAACGCTAGTCCAGAATTCAGAAAGCACACTACATAGAATCCTCTGCAGAGGAGAAAGGAATGGCGTTGATCAGCGCAAAAAATTCATAACTTGGTTTTTGACCGCAAAATTAAGATGTTCCATGTTGAAGAGTTGGCTGATTGAACGTGTAGACAATCCATCGTAGAGAACTTGCATGATACACAGTTGGAAAGTCAGCATATCTCAGCAGTGCTTTGTCTACCGTCCGTTCACCCAAACTTGCCTGAGTGCCTGAGCAAAGCATTATTCCCTTACACTAATTATAACAGAACATTAACAATGCCTGAACATGACTATTTCTTCCTTTATAGTCTAGTATATTGACGGATGTAAAATTTAATTTTTTCATCACTTAGTTATACAGTGGTGTGGTGTAGAACTGAAACGCTAACAAGAGGTCTCTCAAAAGGGGACAGGGTGACTAAGCATGCGGTGGTGACAAGGGGTGGAGGGTACAAAATGATAAACATGGAAAGTTCCAGTATTTAATGTTGCTTTTATCAATTCTTCAATTTATTGGAAACAGGATTTAACTTGAAATAAGAAATTCCAATATACCGAAACAAAAATTTCCGCTATTTCATGTTGGAGCCACATACATGATCTAATGGTAGGATCATAGTAATAAGTACAGATTACTAAAATCATCTTATCATTGCAATACTATAGTTGCAAAGAACGTATACAATCTGCAAAAGTGAGGGATCATCCCCCCCCCTCTTTATCCTCTTCGCTACGACCCTGTCGACACGATCACTCATGAAACTGTCGTGAGTGTAATGAGGTTTACCTTATATATGGATACATTTTATATGAATGAGCGGAGAACGCCGTTACATCAATCCTGGCCAAATATACAAAGGCCTGCTGCCAGATCATGCAATCACCATGAAAGAGATAGATGATTTCATTTTTAAGAAAGGGATGTTTTACCCAAGTATGTATTTAGTTATGTGTCGTAAGTCGATTGAAATGAATTTACCTGTACCATGGTGAGCACCATCGACAACTACTTGGTCTCCTGTTGCACCAGTCGTGACCAGTAGGGATTGCTCATGTGGTACGTTGTGCCCAAATGCTCGTTTTATCTCAACCGTGACTTCTTCCACGGATGTACTAGGACTTGAACTTTCACTCGCTGCTTGGTCTTGAAGATGAATGCCATTTAATGGCCGTCCTTGATTAGGTCTAGGAGCCATGTGACTACGAGTGCCGCGGTTATCGTTTCTAGCAGATTGGGTACTGCGTAAAAGCGTGTAATCTCCTGCCAAGAAATGTTCGATGATGAGTACTAGGTCAATGCGGGTATTTCCTTCGAAAAACTCTCTCAGTGTAGTTAAATTTGACGAGCTGATGATTCCCTTCTTATCTAATTCGACCAAGATCTGAAATGCATCCGCTGATGTTTCGAGAGAGTAATTACTTGCAGCCCAGGATTCAAGTTCCAACTTGTCACTCTGTAATAATCTTTCAGAAATTTGCAGCAACAACAGTTTGTAATTGTTGTGCAGTTCCCGTTCGATGGCATTTGTTGGTACATTTGCTAAGCTTTGTTCTGCTCTGGAACTCGACTCCTCCCTGCTCACTTGATGTTCTGAATTGGAGGAAGTGCTGCGGTTTAATTGCGTTACTTCTCTGAATATAGCCTCTCTCTTCTTTTTCTCAATTTCATCTTGGAGCTTGCAATATTCAGTGGTAATGTCTTCTAAAATTTCTTCAGTCTCCCCCAGCTTTTCTTCTAATGCGGTAATTCTTGCCCGAAATTCGGCGCCTTCGTTTTCATATTTAGAGACAGCTTCTTGGTAGGTTGCTTCTTTTTGCTCCAGCATTGCTACCAGCTCACTAACTCTTTGCTCCACACTACATATGCTTTGTCCAAAAACATTTGTTCTGGGTGTTGTCATTCTGCGACTCTCATTTTCTAGCTCTTTACTTCGTATTGTACGATCTGCCCTTGCACCATTGAGCAAGCAAAATAGCTTCATGTAAAAATGCTTGTCTGTGTTATTCTCTGACACTTTTGCATCAGCACTTTTTTCTGTCTCCAACACGTCTTTACATCTTGAATTTACAAAGTCGATAACTTCGTCGAGCATCTTTATATCGCCTTCAATATCTTGTGATTCGGTGAAATCGATATTTACAGGAAATATCTTTCCTCCTGTCTTTGTTGCGATATGTTTTAATTCTTTTTGTGTTTCCTTGCCCTCTCCATCAGGAAAATATGATGCCTCCAAATAATCTGTATGAAAAAAGAACATCTTGTAATCCAAATACAGTAGAACGACGTTTTTCTCCGTATATATTATTTTCTCCCCCCCCCC